AGAACACATTTCCCCTTTCCCCGCTGTGCATTTCCCCCTCTCTTCCGCCAGGGGGCGCCGTGTCCCATTGCCCTGCAGTTCCCCTCCATCCGCCAGGGGGCGCCGTGTCCAATTCACTGCAGTGTTCCCCTCCAACCATCAGGGGGCGCTGTGTCCATGTCCATGCAGTGTTCCCCTCCGACCATCAGGGGGCGCCGCGGGTGACACGTCCCGCCACTTCCGGCACTTCCGCCCGCGCGTGCGCAGAACGAACCGCCGCGACCTGCACCCGGCGCAGGGTGAGAGCGACGGGAACGGGAACGGGACAGGGAATGGGAATGGGAATGGGAATGGGATAGGGAACGGGAATGGGATAGGGAATGGGATAGGGACAGGGAACGGGATAGGGACAGGGAACGGAATAGGGAACGGGAATGGGAACGGGATAGGGACAGGGAACGGGACAGGGAATGGGACAGAGACAGGGAATGGGATAGGGAACGGGACAGGGATAGGGACAGGGAATGGGACAGGGAGCGAGAACGGGACAGGGAATGGGACGTGGACAGGGAACGGGAACGGGACACGGACAGGGAACGGGGTAGGGACAGGGAATGGGAATGGGAACGGGATAGGGACAGGGAATGGGATGGGGACAGGGAATGGGATAGGGACAGGGAACAGGATAGGGAATGGGGTAGGGACAGGGAATGGGATAGGGACAGGGAACAGGATAGGGAATGGGATAGGGACAGGGAGAACAGGGGTGGGAAGGAATGGGGAAATGGATTATGGCATCCACACGGGTCAGCGGGAATGGGATGGGAATGGGAATGGGAATGGGAATGGGATAGGGAACGGGAATGGGATAGGGACAGGGAACAGAATAGGGAACGGGAATGGGATAGGGACAGGGAATAGGATAGGGACAGGGAACGGGACAGGGAATGGGACAGGGAATGGGACAGGGACAGGGAATGGGACAGGGACAGGGAATGGGATAGGGAATGGGAATGGGATAGGGAACGGGACAGGGAACGGGATAGGGATAGGGATAGGGAATGGGATAGGGACAGGGAAAGGGGCAGGGAATGGGATAGGGACAGGGACGGGGCTAGGGACAGGGAATGGGACAGGGATAGGGAATGGGATAGGGACAGGGAATGGGACAGAGACACAGACAGGGACAGGGAATGGGAGAGGGAATGGGGTAGGGACAGGGAACGGGAGAGGGACAGGAACAGGGACACAGCCCTGGGGGGGACAGAGCCCTGGGGGGGAACACA